GGCGCCCCATTGTCAGGTAGCAAACTACCCATTAAATGGTAGTTCTGACCGTGCAAACGGAAGACGGGTGGGCCCGTTCCCTTGTTTATGTCGGTATCGATTTTTCCCCCCATGGATGTAAAGCAGAACATATTGTTGTAAGACCGAATGTTTTCTTGAAAGCGCTTGCTACGTGGACCTGACCCAAAAATCAGCTCACGCAGAAAGGGGGGAGGAGTGTAAACAGGTGGAAGTTCGATGAATCCGTTGTTGCAGCAACCAGAGTACTTAGGGACTTTAGGTTTAGATGGTTTGCCCAATCGCTCAGAGTACCAAAATCTCGCGCCACAGTGAAGGCAACGGAAGGATGCGTCGCCAATATCCCAATATTCTGTGGCATTGTAATTTAAAATTAAATTTAAAATATATTATATAGATTTTAAATATTCAAAATATATACAAAGTCATGCGTTCCTCTTTCCATAAAATAAATAAAATAAAATAAAAAATATCTTCAGAAAAATAATTATCATTTTGGATTGATGAGTTCGACGAACCGGAATTGTTGATGGTAATGGAAGGAGTGATTGGCCGCCTCGGACGGCCGCCTACATTTGTCCGAGGTGGCAACCTCAAAGATGAAACTGCAGGACATTAGATAATTGGTTTAATCATTGATTATATAACATGTAAACATAGATGATTATTTTTGTTCACATAAATTAAACTAAACAAATTGGTTGTGTTGTTGGAATTACCATTTGTGATGGGTCGTAAAGCGAGTCTCGGACGACCGCCTACGTTCTTCCGAGGTGGAAAGTTTGATGATGAGACTGGAAAAAATATACGCGAGGTAAATATATATGAGTAACTAAATTTTAGATTTTGTTACAAAATAAATTAAGTGACATAATTTGATAATGAATTTAGGGATACCTTTGTTGACATGGTTAACCAACGAAGTCGGTGTAGCATTTTCATCATCCTCAATTGTAAGGTCAATAAAAGGTACCGAACCGCTCGAAGAAGCATTAGCGACGTGGGATATGGTACTATTTTGAGACGAAGCGATGTGGAATATGAAACTAATTTGAGACGAAGGCTGTGAATTTAGGATTGGAACACCTAAAATGAAAGGTTATATAAGATGAAATAAACTAAACATATCACTAACAATATTTCTTATAATGACTCAAATAATTATCAATTCTAAAAGATTTACAACAATTGAAAAAAATATAATCATACCCGGTTTTTGTTTGATAGGACACGCATTAGTAGGAACTGGTGGTGTTTGGAACGTAGGTGTTACTGTAGACACATTTGATAATGAAAATACAATACTTAAATAAATATAGTTGATTTTGAAGTTACAACAACTGTAAATTTAAAGAATGCAAACTTAATAGTATATAAATTTGTGATATAATAAACTAAAACAAACAAAAAAATAATTAAATTTTATAATATAACAATTTTGTATAAATATTTACATGTAATATTTTTACTTGTTTAGATGAAAAAAAAGAGCACTAATTTGGAACATGATTTATTGGGCTTTTCATTTAAATTAACTCACATATGTTCACTTGTTTTGGGCTTTTCAAACAAATATTTTTAGCCCATTTTGAGCCCAATTCTTGTGACAAAAACGCGTGTCTGAGTTTAAAATGGCCACAACCCGTTTAAAATGGCACACGTACACATTGAAGTTTGATCTTTTTCAAACGCGTGTCTTTGTTTGGCTTAAATATGCCTAACCCTAAACACGCACCGTCTTCGCCATTTTTCTCGCCTCTCTCATTACTCATGCCGTTTCTCTCTCTCATTTCTCTCTCTCATTTCTCTCTCTACTGAAGTTTTTCGGCCATTTTACGCCGATAATTTCGCCAAGAACAATGTTTCACCGGCGATTCTATTCAGTTTTTCCAGCCGATACCGAAAAATACCAGAGATAAGTTTGTTTCGAATGAAAAGGGAGACGACAAAGTGAAATCGGCCCGATTTTACAACATCGATTTACTAATTGATAGTATCTCGGTACAAATCGGGCGATTACATATAAATATTTGCAGATCTATATTTTTTTAGTAATTTTTTTTTTTTGTTTTAAGCTGTTGTATTTTTAAATCGAGATTATATAATAGATCTGTACAGATCTGTACAGATCTGTAGTGTTTTCGCTTGATTACTTAATATATCTTGATAGATCTACGACTTTTCTATTTTTTAAATTTTTTTACAAATTTTCCTTCGATTAAAAACGTAATGAGATGTACAGATCTGTACAGATCTGTAGTGTTTTCGCTTGAGTACTTAATATATCTTGATAGATCTACGACTTTTCTATTTTTTAAATTTTTTTAAAAAGTTTCCTTCGATTAAAAACATAATGAGATGATTGATATGTAAAGATCTGAAACTTTTTTTGGGTTTATTTAATTTTTAAACTTTTTATTATTAGATTTTGTTTTTGGTTAGCTTCCGACTGACGGGTTTTACCCGTACTGTGAACTCAAGCGGTCGAATAAGGCCCATTTTGTTATATTAATTCACAGTCAGGACCTAATATAGTGTTTATATATATATATATAGTTTATAATTTTTTTACACCTTTTTCCCGTAATTCACGTGAGAATTTTTTCCTTCGACCGACGATTCCTTTGATGTTCTTATTTTTTTTCTAATGTCTAAACACCTTTCGACTGTACTCTGAGGAGTTCATTTTATATATGTAATTTTTAAAATTTTGTACCTAATATCCGGTGTTACCGGAGTACATATGTAAAATATACTAATCTTCCTCAAGGGGTTGATTACTAAACTGCACATGGGCTAGAATTAAAAAAGATAAGTAATATATTCTATGTTATCTTTCAGATAATTAACTTATATGAAATAAAACATAATACTAATAAATTTGATCTTGTTTGTAGGTTTTACTGCATATGTACTCGATGTGGATGCAGCAAATCAGTTGCGGGGCTACTGTTAAATGGAAAGGACGAACATATCAAAGGCTCAAATAGAAGATTAATGAAAGATTATGCTAAAAAGGTAAGTATTTTATAAATATTTATTCTCTATCATATACGGGTGTACATTAATCTGTGGTGTACCATTCTCTGTTGAATCTTTTCTCGTCTTTTTGTTGCCCAATATGCTGTAGCCGCTGGATAACCTTTTCATATTGTTTGGATTCCTGTTGAATCAACGTACATTCAGTGATAGCTCTTCAATAATGCTTCTGTGCCGAATCCACCTTCTATCTCTGCTTTAATAATCTTTTTGTTTGGTGTTTATGTGCTCGGCTGATAAGCCACTTGAAGTTGCAGAATTTTTTCTGTAGATGATGTCTGTTTTGGATAGGTAGACTAAATAAATTTTGAGGGTTTATATAGCAAATTACAGCAACTATATTTGGTAAATATATTAAGTGTATTTATTACATTTTATTAGGATCATTGACTTGATTTCTTGTATTTGGAATGTATTATGAAACTGTTGTATCTATGTAATATCTGAGTGCTGAAATCATGGTTCATTAAATCGAGTAAATTCACTCTGAAAACCTAATTTTTACATGATTTCACTGGTAGTATTCTGATTATTGACTTTGACTTGATATCTTCAATTTGTTGTTAAACTGATATGTACTGTAAAAACTGATTCTTGATTTTTTAAATGATTTGTACATTCTGTATTGAACTCATGATTTTTGCATAGGTGATTGCTCAAAACTGATATATTTGTTTTTAAACAGGTTCATCAAAAGACTATGGATGAGGAAGATTATAAACAGATAAGTCAAATATTCGATGTTATCTTTCAAATACATATCTGATATGAAATAAAACATTATATTAACAAATATGTTTTTATATGTATTTAAAAACCTCTGAATTGAATGTGGATGCAACATTCTGTTTCAGGGGGTACTGAAGATTGGAATGGACAAACATATGGCTCAAGCAGAAGATTATTGAAAGATTTTGCTAAAAAGGTAAGTCAAGGTAAGTCAATTTTTTAATTATAAGAAATAAAACATCCATACCATTATCTCTATAATCATTACTGGTCTTTTTGTTGCCCATTTAGCTGTAGTTAATGGATAACCTTGTCATGTTGTTTGGATTTATGTTGAATGATTGACTGTGTACATGTCATTGATGTTATTTTTTAGGGGATGCTGTTTATGGTTTGTTGAATCATTGACTGCTTGTTATTTGTGTTGAATCATGTACTGTAGTTTAATCATTGACTGTATTTGATGGCTAACCTTTTCAGTCATTGACTGTACTTCTTTTAATGTTACTTTTTGTTTGCTAATTTGCCAATTAAGTAAATACTTAGTGACTGAAAAATAAAATACATTAATTCCATGAGATGTTTAGATTCTACTCTACTTGAAAATAAGAACTTTTTAAATCTCAAAACTGTGAACTTGTTGAATTTAGTGATTTAAGTGTTGGTGCATGGACATTTTATCTTGAAAGTAGTGGTTATATTTTTTAAGACATGATTATCTGCTATACCCTTATTGGTGTTCTGATATAGTGTAAAACTGTTGTTGTTTTTAAATGCATGATTATATGTTGAACACTTATAGGTGATTTTAGTTTCAAATCCTGTTTGAGTTTCTGTTTAACTTCCTGTTTCAATTATTTTTTCAATTTCTTCCAATTCCTGTTTCAATTGGTTTACTTAACACTTTAGTAATTACTATTTCAATTCCTGTTTCACTTTCTGTTTTAATTCTATTGATGTTGTGAGTGAATCTGTCTTTCTGTTTATTTTCCAATTAGGTAAAATCTTTGAATTCCTGTTCTGGTGAGTGGTTCTGTTCTGTTTTGAGTGTGATTATGTTCTAAGTATGCTTAGGTTCTGAGTGTGCTTATGTTCTGTTCATGTTGTGAGTGTGCTTATGTTCTGTTCATGTTTTGATGTAGTTTATTAATATTGGGCAAAAAAAATAAAAAATACACTAAATATATTAAACTTTATTTTTCCATATAATGAAGAGATAATGCATTCAGCAGCAAACAAATGTTAAATAAAAAACTCAACATAAGCACTCAGATTTTTTCCAGCTTGATTTTCTTCTTCCCCATTGGATCTTCCCCGTCAGTTTGCTGTCTTTTCTTTGGGTCCTCTATGAAGTCCTTTACAGCCCTGTTTGGGCTGTTCACTGCTGCCTTCACAGCCCGAATTGGGCTGTACAAAACACCCTTCTCTACCATGATTGGGCTGTCCACCTCCTCAGCATTTACAGCCCTTATTGGGCTATCTATAACTTCAGCCTTTACTGTTCTCATTGGGCTGCACAATTCCTCGGCCTTTGTTGCCTTTGTTATTAAAATTAGAAAAAAAAAAATCAGAAAAGTAATATGAATTTTATTACACATAAAAATTAAAATTATAGAAGTTATAACCTGTGAAGAAATTCCCAAGGGTCCAAATCGATTTAGCAAAATTGGATCAGCGGTGATTCTAGAAACTGTATATTGACCTTTATAAGGTCCAATCTGATCCTTATTCTTTGAAATTTTAAGCATAACATCTTTTGAGAGCAACATTTTAATCTCATTTGGCAATTCAGATCCATCATCGTCCTGCATATAAAAACACACAATAAGAACAATAAAACTTTTGATATATGTTATTAATTATTTAAACATTTGGAGGAATAGTAAGTGTGCATGCCTTAAACATGTCGTTAACAACATCTTCACACTTTCTTCCTATTAGTTCTCTCGAAACCTTGTCCCAACACAGAAGATGTACAATGCCCGAGTCGTCCACGGCAGAAATGTCGAGCTTGTACCTTAACGATTAATAAGTCAAAATTTAATAAATAATAGATGATACTTATGAAATATGAAATAAAAATACCTCAGAAGAGCAAAGGGAGTCGTCTCTTTGCAATAGCTGCACCAAAATCGATCACCCTTTGCCTCTACTTTCCTCACACAAGTCGGGCAAGACTTGAAGAACCAATTTGGGGATACGTCAATGATTGAGGCATAAATCCAAAAATTCGTTTCCTGAAAACATAGAAAATAGCAAATAAATAGTATAAAATGTAAGTGCAGTCTTTAATAGATTTAATAATTATATTAGTACCAACTAATGTATAATAAAAATATCAAATTAACCTCATTAAATTCCAAAAATTCAGCAATGGTCTTGATTGGAGCTATGCCGGACTCCAGATCATCACGAATATTATACATGAAGGGCCTCACGTGTGGGATTGATGACTCACTTGGTCTTGTGTGTGAGTTATACCTTTATATTCAATGAATTACGAAAAAATTAAATATTATTAACTGATATAGTATAATACAAAATAATAGAAAAGTATAAAAAATAATTACCAATACCTTTCTTTGAAATCCTCAATTTCGGGTACTTCACCCATCAAAAGCTTTGTTGCATCAAATGCGTTCACAACTTTTATGGAGCCTAAAACAACAAATTATTTTTTTAGATATAACAATATAAGTAGTATGTCAAATATAAAATATCAATGAAAGTGAGGAATGTACCATCTTGGAAAGCTTTTGCTCGACAACATTGGACAATTAGTACACGCAAGGTTGTCACGGGTGTGTTGTTCAAAGCATCAACAATTACTTGCACATATCTTTCCCAAAACGTGCATGTTATATGGCATCCCCTAAAAAATTATAGAAAATAATTTTTCAGTAACAAATAAAATCGTTGTTACTTAAATTGTAAGGAAGTGATTAAAAACTATTACTTACTCAACATCTTCTAGAACAACATCTATGAACTTCTTCTCCACACCATTTGAATTTGTTGTTCGTATGCTATGGACCATAGCAACACGTCCAATCAAATCTAAAAAAAAAGAATGTATAAATTAATCCTTTTATATTTGCATCAGAATTTTAAAAATAAATGTGTATTGGTAATAAACCAAAAATTTACCAAATATCTTGTTTGAATCAACTGTTTGTGGGTCGGACAGCTCTTTGTAATTTTTGAAGTTGTACATAATCCTCGGGTACTCGACGTCAACTACCTCGTACATCTTTGTGTTTTCACCAAATTCAAGCTTGTGGCTTGATTCCGTTATCTTGAATGCATTTGTGTCCTCAGTAAGTTCCCAACCATTGATCCCATACACTTGTCCTTCAAGAAGGTTGAAATCTCGGAATTTTTGGGCCAAGAAACCGGGTGCAGAACCATGAATCCGCTGCCCCTAAAAAAGAAAAAATATGGTGTTACCAAAATATCAATGACACACTTAAGAAATAAATATATAATGCAATGTCCAAAAAATTATTAACACCTTTGCATCATGAAAAATGAAATCGATCTCTCTTATGCTTTTTTGGCTCGATTTGTAGAACTTGGGATAAGTGCGGACCAATCTGAGTTTTGCCGTCATTTTTTTGTTTTTTGCTAAGTAGGTCAAATTATCAAACTGATTCATGATAATTTTTGATGAAAAAAAAATGGCTGTTGTGATGGAATATTTGCTTGTACTGCGAGATTTTTAGGGAGTTGGAATGAGTGCTGATGAAAATAAGTTGACTATTTATATAGGAAATTTCAAATTGAGGCAATCAATAGAAATAAATTTGATTGATTGAAAAAATGGAATGAGAATATAAATATATGTTAGACTGCCAAAAATATATAGGTGTTTTATTTTGAAGATTAGTATCCACATTTAATTTTTAATTATTATTAGAGTTATTTGTCAGATTAGTTTACCAAAAATAATCCAATTTTTCATTTTCATTGTCCCGCTTCATTTTCAATTAATAGAGTTATTTTGTTGATTTGTATACCAAAAATGCAAAATGTTTCAATTCATTTTGCCGCTTCCAACTCTGTTTGGATATGTAATTATCTGAAAAATTTTAAATTTGATGATTATAATTAATCTGTTTTTGGCATACTAAATTTGATATTTATTTATTTATCTTTTTAATTGCAGGAATTGCGAACCCAAAGGAGCTGCTGCTTTTTTTATTATTTATAATTTGTCTTTATGGTTTGTTGTATTTTGGCATATTTTATTTTTTTATTTGTTGTTCTTCAATTTATTTAAATTTACTATGGAAACCAAAATATATGATTTAATTAAAATTGGGATGAGATTAAAAAATTGATTATTGATTTTGGGGCCCGCCTAATAAAATGTTCAAAAAAAAAATGGGAACATTCCGGCATAACTGATAATAATGTCAGGTTAAATTTGTTTCCTATTTTACACATTTATTCATCCCACAAATTGAGCTTTCCATTACAAAAAATAAAATAAAAAACGAAAAATAAATAAAATGTAACTGAAATGGGCGGGAAACAGAAAAAGGTGCCAGCTAGGTATAATTTAATAGGTTTTCTTTAATGTTTTCAGCTGGTAATTATATATATATAGATTCAAGTTGAATTGATATTCGTAGTATATTTAATTTTTCAATAATGATTATTATTTAGAGTTAGCAATTAATATTTAATTGGAGTTGAATTAATATTCGTGGTATATTTAATTTCTTAATCTTAATAATAATTAAAGTTAACAATTAATAAACACATAAAACATAGGGGGGTGTATTTAATTAGGATTTTTAAGGACTTTTTAAGACTTTAGAAATCCTGGTGTATTCAATTTAGATTTGTTAAGACTTTTTAAAACTTTTAAAAATCCTGAGGTATTCAATTGGGATTTTCAAAAGTCTTACAAAATCCTGAGGTATTTAATTTTTTTGGCACTAGGATTTATTAAGACTTTTTAAGATTTTGTGGGATTTCTAAACAAAAAACCTTATATGAAATCTATTACTATATAATAAGGAGAAGAAAAACTATTTGAAAAACTTTGAAAAAAATATTTCATTTCCCGCTTCTTTAGTCATTCTTTCCCGCTTCTGTTTTTTGTTTTGAACAATTTTCAGCAAATATTTTTGAAATTTTTTGCATGTCCCAGCTTAAACAATTTATTAACCAATAAATCACATCCAATGTTTGGCAAGTAAATCACATCCAATTATATATTATTTTAGACTCATTTCATTTAGTTGGGGGAGAAAAAAAAAAGAGTCCTTAGATTTTCAAAAGAAAAAGGAATAAATTATTTGATTATTAATCAAAATAAGTAATTAAAAATTATAAAATTATGTGACCTAAGTAATATGTACTTAATATAAACATAAAATCAAATATTGAATATTTAATATCATGAATGATATAAATTTAAATTTACTACTAAATAATATTTTTTTTTTCACGTTAATGTCAACAAATTATTTGATTCAAACAATTTATCATTAAATATCTAATAATCAACAAATCGTGAAATTCCGTGGCATAGCACGCTACAAAAATATGACATCTATTAATATATAAAAAGACAATGATATTTACTTGAAATAGTAACTAAAAATCAATAAAAAAATATTTGGTTTTCCCGCCTAAAAATTCAGAATTCCTAAATTGGGCAATTCTTTTTTCTTGCCAAAGTTTGAAAAATCCTGCCTAAGTTAATGTAATTAATGTACAAAATTATTTTGGTCAAATATTGCGGCTATTACCTTTATTTGTTGAATAATTTAAATGTGAAATATAATATATTGACAAAACTTGCAGCTATTACCTTTATTAGTTGCATAGTTTAAATTTGGTATATAATATATAAAAAAATAAAAATATTTTTATTTAAAATTAAAAATAAAAAAAAACAATTATTCATAACTTACAGGTCAATATTAACTAGGACGTGAATGAAATAGTCAATTATTTATAATTCAATAAATTACTCAACTACTTAATTTTTTTTATTTGAATAGTTTATACAAAAATAAATTATTTTAAGTAATGAAACAATATAAATTTTATATTTATAATTATTATTCACATATGTTGTTAAATATATGATAAAATTTTACCAAAATAATTGTTTTATGTAATCACATTATAGTAAATAAAAAATTCGATTTGACACTTATTTTGAAACGAATATAATGTAATTTATTATCAGTTATATGTATCGCATGGGTTGTGTACTAATTTTAAATAGACATTTTTATGTAATTTTTCACAATTTAAACTTTATATAATATTTTCAACAAATTAATATAGGTATTTGATTCTATATTTTTAATTTACAAATATTATTTAATAAAAAAATTTTAATTTATAAATATTAATGAATATCTCTTACCCGTGCAGTGCACGGGACTCATACTAGTCCCACTTAAAATCCTACCTCCGGACTTGAGATTTCATAGAATTCTTCCAAAATCGGAAAATCCTAGAAAGTCTCAAATCTCGAAAAGTCTTAAAATGTCACTTAAATTCCGAATTGAATACACCCCCCGTAGTTGTGAGATTCTAAGAATTAAGAGTCTTATCCCACTGATGAAGATCGTGATCGAACTATTCAAATATGTGAAAACCCGTGCTATTAATCGTCGGCTAACACGAGAAGTTTTGCTCGAACGCGAGCGATTTCGTACCTCATTGCATGATTTTTGTCCAATTGATATGAACCTGGTTGGCCGCATCGAGATCAGGTACTCTTCGAGTGAGTTCGAACTCCAATATTCATTCTTCAAATGAATGAGGACTCCTAAGAAGCCGACAGCTACTCAATTCATGATACTTTTTAATATATCAAATGGCCCAATATTGCCAAAGACTTCAAACCCTATTCATTAATTAAATGCTGAATAATCCTTTATTATTAACATAATACGCATCATTCCCTACTCCTTCAGAAACATCTTGTCTTCAAGCTGTAGCTAATAAACACCTAAGTAAATAAAAAATTACTATGACTAAAAACATTATAAATCTCTCTGCTTTGCCCCTTATACAACATAAATTGGTGTGTTATTCCAAATTCTCTCAAGGCCCAAGCTTGCAGGCCCACTTGTTGGTCCAATTTTTGGTGGCCCAAGTTCAAAACGTGAGGGTTGCTCACTCCAGGACCAACTCTCCCATTATGTTGTGAGAAAATCATAGAGATGCCATCAATGGAGTCGAGCGGCGCCACCGCCTTGATGACCTTAGTCTTCTCCGCCTGGAACGACCCGCCGTTTTTTTGAGATTTGACGAGACCAAGCAGTCTCCCGACCGTCGCCCCTAGTCGACATCTGGTGACCCTTGTCTTTGTCAATTCGTCGTGACCATGCATTCTCATAGCCCTCGCCGCCATGAATTGCAATCTGGCTGGACCATGCTTCATTTACATAGTCGTGTGGCACCATCATCGTCTCCCCGATCTGGCACGACCAAGCCTCCCTCCATTCACAATGGTTCAAATCGCGGATGACCTAATCCTTACTTGTACGAGTTCATTGTTGGTCGTTAGGCTTCGCAATCCGACGAGACTAAGTTGCCTCACGCTTGTCGCATCTGTTCCATCGAATTAGGAGTTCAAAGTCTCAGCATCTCCGGTCTTTCACAAACGTCTTTGGTCTCTCGGTTATTGTGATCTTCACAATCCAGCGAGCCCGCAGTGCCGTTTTCTCGTTTTTCCCAAACTGTTTGACTTAATTTTGACCCTTTGACCTCGTTTTCTGTGCCAAGTACATTTTTAAAGTTTTTAAATGATTTTTCCGAGTCTAGCCTTCAAATCCAAGAGTTTCAAATTCCATGAAATTCAACAAACTACTTTTATGATGATTGAAGTTGAATCTTGTATGCATGTAATATGATAAATGGATAATGAGTTCCTGTGTGATTAATTGGGTAATGAATTTCCGAATGCTCAGACATGACTTGAGCTAATAATGATGATGATGATGTGAGTAACACCGATATATGTTTTAAATCGAAAAATGAATTTCGAAAAATTTAACTTGATTTTTGAAAAAGTCCGAAATTCTCTTTAAAAACCATTGGGGTGTTACATATTAAACCTTGAGTCTTGTACCTTTACCTATAGATTCGTTGCGCATAGGTAATTTTGTAGATAAATTTGTAACTTCCACATGCGATCCTTATAGATCCCAACAGATACCGATGAATACTCTTTGTAGCTCATAACCTGTGATCTCAGCAGTAATAACTAGGCCGTCATTGTGAAATAGAGAAACACCTTTGACATCTTTAATTCCAAACTTTAGAGTTACCTCAGGCTGCTGTACTTGAACTTCTGCGTTCTCCTTGGCTACGTCTTTGCCACTATATGTATCCGTTGGTCCTCTTGCTATCGTTTTATTCACGCCCCTCTATGGCGGCATGTCCTCCTATTCTTCAGTCAGTCTAAGCCTTTCTATGAGCTCACTATCGTCTCTCTTCTCTTTCTCTCCTATGTAAAATTCCTTGAGGTGCCCAGCTCATATGAGCTCTTCCATCACGACCTTGAGTTCCCTAATATGATTAGCCAAATGTCCATACTCCCTGTGTATCAACAATATGGATCACCACCTGAAAGCATGTACTCTCTCCTCCTTGGAATGTGGTTAGGGCAAGCAATGATCCCCCCACATTTTCAAGACCCCAAACACTTTCTTCTAGAGCACTGTTAGGAGAGCGTATTGGTTGTACTTGCACCCCATCTTGGCTTGCACTTCTGACCTTAATTCTTTGTTTGGGGACCTCTTGTCATTAGATAGCTACTTTTCCTCAGGTCGTTTGACTTTTTATCTGTCATTTTACAGAAAATCTGCCTCAACCTCTTTCATGTTTATGTAATTTCTGTTGGGTTCGATAGTACCGTACGGGCTGTACGCAGCGGAATTTAAAATTTTTTAAAGTAAGTATTTATCGTATAAATACAACACCCGTACATACTAATTGCGAATTAACTGATCGTCATCTTTAAAACATGCATCATATACAAATTTTGATTTGTTACTATAAAGTAAATACTAGTAAAATATTTACCGAATGTCTTGAACTCCTTCACTATTGATGATGGATGAGGGAATCGGTTCCCGGTTGTAACTTCAACGACTTGAGGTTACTCGCTAGAGGAATCCAAGTGTCTTCCCTCTAAACGTATCCACCCTATGAAGCCCGGTTCCGACGACTTTCCTTCGCTAGTAGAAAAGACTCGGTTTTCTTGTATAAAAATATTTATGAATTTTATTTGGGAATTTTAAGAACTCTTTCTTGAAGTTTTATGAAGAACACTTTCTTCTCTTTCTAACACTTAGAAATTTAGGATCAAAAACTTCACTTAAATGCAAAACCATTTTGCACATATTTATACTAAACATTTTAACATAAAATAATCAACATTTAGTAATATTAAATAAAATCAAATTTTATTTAAATAGTATTTACTAACTTTTGACTTTGAAAATAATAAGATATGTTAAGTAGTTCAAACAACCATCAACAACCATTTTATTATAATCATATTTATTATTTTAATCCTTAAATCATATTTAAAGATATAAATAANNA